AGGAGTCATGGTTTTATTACAACACAAAAGCAGAGATAGATCGTTTAATATCCTCGCTTAATGTTCAGGATGAAAACGAAAGCGCTCTCAAACAGAAACTGAAAGGATTGAAGAAACAAACAAAGAAACTGCATTTTGAAAAAAGGTGTTGTATTTTAACCCTTGATGAGAGAATTCTATGTAATATCGACTTGAACTAAGCGGGTCATGTGATCTCAATATGATTACGATAATTTGGTCTATTCCTTAGAATTACAATGCTTTTCAGATTCTGGTTGGAATAAAAATATTTTATTAATTTCATGTCGTATAGACAAACAGATTCATCGAAAGCCTGCTCAGAGGAAGACAGCATTGATCATTTGGGAATTCTGAAAGGGGTAAGCCATTACAACATCGGTACATTCATGTTTACTTTCAAGTATTCCTAAAATATGCAGGTCATTTAAAGACGTTGCTCGACTAAGTGCTACATATACCTGACCATAGACAACATTAGGGCCATTTATACGTGACAAAATAAGTTGCGACGTGCACAAGACGCGACTTAAATAAGTAGAGTTATCGCATAAATGGTTCTCTACGGCTTTGGTCTTATTTATTTGCTATAGCTATAATGTTGTTTTGGTTGTTTTTGTTTTAATATGCAAGGCATTAAATTTTACGTTGTTTCAAGTTTCTGGCATGTGTAGTTAGACTTTTTGTCCAAAATTTCTTATTTAAGACGCGACTTAAATAAGAACAGCTAAAAGACCTGTTCTTATGTAAGACGCGTCTTACTTAAGAATTTTGTACCTTTTATACCACAAACTCGCGTCTTACTTAAGTCGCGTCTTATGTAAGTCGCGTCTTATTTTGTTCCGTATAAATGGCCCTAATGATCATTTGGGAATTCTGAAAGGGGTAAGTCATTACAACATCGTAAACTTCATGGTCATTTAATTTAGAAAACAGCCTTCCAATCCTGGATTATGGAGGAATAATTAGAGACGAGAAAACCTTTATCTATATTTTACACTGAAAAGCTCTGTCAGTTCTAAATTGTTCTTCTTAGAGGTCCGTATGCACACGTTGCAAAAAACGCACAAGTTGCCGCAATCCTGCAGCAGACTTGTAGCAATGCTGTTCCAACAATTTGTCAACAGGATGTGTTCGCACTGCTTGTTCCCAGCTTTGTTGACAAGTTGGCAACTTGCTACAAGGTTGTTAACCTCAACAGACTTGTTACAAGTTGTTCCAACAACTTGTTATCGCCCTGCAATGCAACAAGTTGTGAGTGACAACCTTGTAGCAACTTAATAAAACAACAGCATTGTTACAGCTTGTTGACAAGCTTGCTACAAGCCTGTTGTGAACACATCTTGACACATCTTGTTGACAAGTTGTGGGATTTTTACGTGTGTATATATGTTTGACATGGAGTGTATTATGGGAGATTTAGAAACCTTTAATTCTCCATGGTTTCTTCTCTTTGAGTTCCTCGTCTTTCTGGCTTCGTATACTGTAGTTATTGCTATAAGAATCAGTGTTGTTCTATGTTCAGGAAATGTCTTATCTGGCCAGCCGTATCATTGAAGGAGATATTGGATGCATGGAAAATTTACAAACCTGGACGGAGGATGTCATGTCGCGATCCTCTTTTGCTGATCTGGTAAAAATATTTTGAAAATATTTTTATATATTTTAATCAAACCTTTCACCGTATCTGTGCTCTGTAGTCAGACGTGAGTCACAAGGTGGCTGCCATATAAGCGCCCTTAGAAAGCCTTCGTCTCGATCAGGTTGAGCTGCGTCCTTCGTGATTCAGCTTAGCTGTCAGCTGCAAGTAAGGATGATTAGCACACCCCACTGAGTGTGATCAGGGTTTTTTTCAGGATTTTCTCTTGGGTCCGTTTTGCAGAGAAGATTGAGTTTAGCTGAACAGCTGGGGTCTGGGGTGGCTGTCCCCTACCGGGAGGTTGAAACCTGTGCCCGCTTTAGTGTATTTGAGATGCAATGTGTTAAAGCAGGGGCACTAAAGGACCCTATAAACTGGTTAAAGACGGCAAATGCGTTGTTTTTCTTGTGTTGTGAAATGATTTCCATCGGGTTTTCAACTGAAAACTAATTTGCACAGGTCATGAATTTAACTCAAACAACTTCATTTTACTGCACAAAATCTTTTGATGAGAAGATTGAGTTTCAAAACTCAATTCAAGATTGAGTTTTTGGGGCCGTTTTACGGCCCTAAAAAATCCCTGAAAAAAACCCTGGTAATATAAACGTTAACAGAAAATTAGACTTCTCGATTAATTTGTATAGGTAATACTATGATTTCTTGTGCAATTTGGAAAAAAACATGCACGAGTGAGTTTTTCAAAGACTTTCAAAATTGCATGAGTCCGAAAGACGAGTGCAATTTGAAGTCTTTGAAAAACTCAGGACTGTATGTTTTTCCAAATTCCACGAGAAACTATACTATTACTTATTAATAATAGACCCATTGCACATGACGTCACAGCGCCGGTGACGATGCATCTGGAGGACAAATTAGCAATCTATGTGTAATATAACTTTTATAAACAAAGCAAATTTTGTAAAACTTTATAATAATTTTGTATTAAATGGTTAATTTTTGTTCCGAATGTTGTTGTTGTACCCGAACAGATATTGTTAGTGAGCATCTGGAGGACACTCTAAGGATTTGTGACGTCAGTGCAATGGGTCTATATACATGAAAAAATTATGCAGTCATCTGCGTGAGTAGGTCACATGCGAAATAGAATATAAATCATTTTAATAGAAAATCCACTAAAAACGCCAGCTATTTTTGTCACTTGTAAATGTTTGGTTTTTTTGTATTATTTTCTGCTGGAAATGGTTGTATCTTATGGTCAATGAAATTTGCACTGTATTTCATTTTTTGGCACTGTATTTCGGGAAAATTGCACTGCTTTTGCCAATCAGAATTGAGAAATTTTTTCTTGTATATTAGTATGACAGTAACATTGTTTTCGCAGGTGACGTTAGCTCTGGAACTTGCTACCACAGTGAAAATCAAAAGTTTGTGGAAAAAGTTGGGCGATCGAGAAGAGTGGTTGAAAAAGGACTGGGTACAAGCCGTGAAAGACTCGATGACGTCATCAAGACTATGCTTTTGTATCGCGATGTTAGATTACTGTATTATGTGGGATATAAGCACATTGTTCATAGTAAGATTACATTTGATCATTTCTAAAGTGTGTCCAAAGTAAACTAACTTCATTTATACTCGATAGCTCTATCGTATCAGTTATAAACTGTTCTTCCTAGAAGTCCAGTAAGAGTCATCTCTTATTGATCCAGTGTTACTAGTACAGGAGGAAACTTAAATTGAACTAACTTTATTTATACTGTAATAGCACTATCGGTTCTAAACTGTTCTCCCTAGAGGTCTAGTACAGATCATCTTTTATTGGTCAAGTGTCATTACAGGAGGAAACCTAAACTAAACTAACTTTATTTATACTGGATAGCTCTGTCAGTTTTAAACTGTTCTCCCTATAGGTCCAGTAAGGATCATCTTTTACTGATCCAGTGTTACTACAGGAGGAAACCTAAACCAAACTAACTTTATTTAGACTTGGAAGCTCTATCATTTCTAAACTGTTCTCCCTAGAGGTTCAGTAAGGATCATCTTTTATTGATCCAGTATTACTGCAATACTGCAGTGTTACTGCAGTTTATTTATACTGGATAGCTCTATCAGTTCTAAACTGTTCT